GCATTAAATAATCCATTGAGATTGATATGCCATAAAACAAAATAAACAAAACCAATCAAAACCAAAGAATACATACTCTATTCATACGAATCTATCCTAAAAATGTTGTCGGCATTAAATAACCCATTGAGGTTGATATGCCGTAAAACAAACTAAACCAATCCAAATAAAACTAAACCAAAGAATTCATATTCTATTCATACGAATCTATCCTAAAAATGTTGTCGGCATTAAATAACCCATAGAGGTTCATATGCCGTAAAACAAAATAAACCAGACCAATCAAAACCAAAGAATACATACTCTATTCATACGAATCTATCCTAAAAATGTTGTCGGCCTTACATAACCCATTGAAGTTGATATGCTGTAAAACAAAATAAACCAAACCAAACCTTACGTTTCCATAGGAACTCATAGAAATAAGTGTCTGGAGACACGGTGGATAGCGGCTTGTATTGAGGAATCGGAGAGCCGAGTTCGAATTCAGGTCGAATCCATTACATTCGCTTACATACTAATACCCGTGGGAAAGGTATGAATACTCTTCTTCTCCCCCAGCTATGGGAAAATAGCAGAACAGACCGGGTACTATAGTTTTGTATGGTAGAAAGAAATGGCAATCTACTGCGGGGAAAAAAACCTGTCTCGTCAGTCATGTATCGAAAGATACATGATCGCCTAAGCGTGTATCACGTATGGAACATGACTGACTGATATGCTGCGATGAGTTCCGAACATGGACTTCATTTTGGCATTCCGTCACTTACTTTTAATTATTTACGTATGAGCTGATGTTTCTGACTCAACAAAATTGATACTTTCCAAACAATCTGACCGTAGTCCCAGGTAAAATACATCTTCGGATTATGTCCACTAATGTGGAGGCAGTTCTAGCTGGCAAACAGTACATGAAACATTACTTTGTTTCACGACATATGCCCCAAAATACCCATTGATTTGCATGTTGGCGTCCAGCATAACTCCAGCAACTTCAAGACAAGCTAAACAAATTTCGATTTCAAATTCATAAATTTTAAAATTATGCCAAAAAATTTCATAAAATAATAAACAAACTTTGATTTAAAATTTATAATTTCTTGGGCTGAATTAATATTTGTGATAAGTGTCTTATTATTTGGTGTGAATTAACAGTTTATTTTTTTAGTTATATCTGAAATTTTGCACACACACACACACACACATATATATATATATATATATATGTAACGAAATGGACAAAGTCCGACAATTATTTTAAGACATTTTTATGTTTATACATTCTTTTTTATAGATACAAATATTTAAGTAAATGCTCTGTTTATAATAAACAGTATTAACAACATTTACCGGCCTGAATGTCCGAGAAATTGTAATAGAAAATATGCGTCCTCCGACAGTAATCGAACCTGTATCCTACATGAAATCGTCATATAGCCTGCGATGCTATTTAGCTACACAGGAAGTGTCTGGTTAGCAAAGTCAAAAATGCATTTATTTTTATTTTTTGCCTTATGCTTCCAAGGGAACTCAGAGAATAATTGACAGTCATACTACGATGAGTTCCAAACATGGACTTTTTCTTCATTTTGGCTTTCTGCCAAGTACTTTCGATTATTTATGGATGAGCTGATGTTTCTGGCTCAACAAAATTCATACTGGGATTTACAATCAGATGAATAGAATTCGGATCATCCTTAAAAGATGTCTATTCTTTCCAAACAATCCGACATAATCGTAGTCTCAGGTAAAATACAGATTTGGATTATGTCCACTAATGTGGAGGCAGTTCTATCTGGCAAACAGTACATGAAACATTACTTTGTTTCACGACATATGCCCCAAAATACCAAATGGTTTGTCGGAGTCAAATATAAATACAACGATTTCATAGCAAGCTAAACAAATTTTGATTTCAAATTTATAATTTTAAAAGAGGATCAAAAATTTAATTAAAAATAAAAAAAAAAAAACTTTGTTTTAAAATTTATAATTTCTTTGGATGAATTAATATTTGTGATAACTTTACATTATTTGAGATGGATTAACAGAAATGATCCGATTTTATAAATTTCAACCAAAAAAAGTACTTTCTGTTCGATCAATTAATATCAAATATTTCCTTATAGGGAAACGGCTAACTATTACCATTAACATATTGTATAAAAATGTGTTCAGTATACTAGAGAGTGTTCTAGAATGCGAAGGCCTGCCAAAAATGTTAAAACCCCACCCTACTGATCAGAACTTTGAAGATCCAAACAGAGGATTGGTTTGAACTCTTTGACTGACAAATTCTGACTGTGACGGGAATTTATTCAAGTTCTTAATTTAAGATCGAAAACCTGCGGGGTGTGGAATGCCTACACTATGTGACACCGGAGAATATTATTTTAATGTCTTACTTGAAGCTCAGTCACATTGCAGAGACTGTTCCATCTGGCATCTTTTGTTTTACGATATATGCCCTCAAATAATCATCGCTTTGGTAGTTGGTGACCAACATAACTTCAACAACTTCATGGCAAGCTAAACAAATTTTGATTTGAAATTTATAATTTCAAAAGAGGACCAAAAATTTAATTAAAAATCAAATAAACTTTGATTTAAAATTTATAATTTCAAAATAGGACCAAAAATTTAATTAAAAATCAAATAAACTTTGATTTAAAATGTATAATTTCAAAATAGGACCAAAAATTTAATTAAAAATCAAATAAACTTTGATTTAAAATTTATAATTTCAAAAGAGGACCAAAATTTAATTAAAAAATCAAATAAACTTTGATTTAAAAATTTATAATTTCAAAAGAGGACCAAAAATTTAATTAAAAATCAAATAAACTTTGATTTAAAATGTATAATTTCAAAATAGGACCAAAAATTTAATTAAAAATCAAATAAACTTTGATTTAAAATTTATAATTTCAAAAGAGGACCAAAAATTTAATTAAAAATCAAATAAACTTTGATTTAAAATTTATAATTTCTCAAAGTGAATTAATATTTGTGATAAGTAACTTTACATTATTTGAGATGGGTTAACATAAAGGATACGATTTTATAAATTTCAACCAAAAACAGTACTGACTGTTCGATTAATTAATACCAAATGTTTCCTTATAGGGAAACGGATATTACCATTAACATACTGTATAAAAATGTATTCAATATACTAGATAGTGCTCCAGAATGCGTAGGCCTGCCAAAAAATGTTGAAACCCCACCCTACTGATCAGAACTTTGAAGATCCAAACAGAGGATTGGTTTGAACTCTTTGACTGAGAAATTCTGACAGTGACGGAAATTTATTCAAGTTTTTAATTTAAGATCGAAAATCTGCGGGGTGTGAAATGTCCAGACTATGTGGCGCCGGAGGATATTATTTCAATGTCTTACTTGAGGCTCAGTCACATTCTGCGTATCCGTGTGTGCTCGTGTTGCTTGGCTGAACGTTAAAGATACGAGCATATACAAGTCACTCACGTCCGTACAACACAGACACACGCAAATACATTACACATCCGCCTGTAAAGTCACACACATACAGTGTGTGCTGGACAGCAGATCATCTCTTTTATATTATATCCTCATCTTTTTCGTTATTATCACAACATTTCGGTCGTTATAACTTCCGCCCTTCTTCAGTTGTCTGTCGATCCAGGGCAACCTCCAAGGAATTTCGAACAAAGCCCTTTTATTCAATTTATAAAATTCTCAGTTTTCTGTCCACGATAACTTGGGGCTAGATTGAGTGAGAAGAGGAGTCATGGCGTCATTGTCTTATTTGAAACTCAGGCAAACTGTGTGTGTGCCTGCGTGTGTATATATATGCTTCTATGTGGATTAAATGACACAAGCATATGTAAGTCACTCACACACAACACACGCATATATCATATAATAATTGTGCTTGCTTCTCCATGTGTTAGTTCGCATGACCATTACTCCCTGCCAATCCCTCACAAATAATGGACTTTTCCGTTTTGGTCGCGCGGAAATATAGAAAAGACATATCAGAGACGCTACTTGGTTTCTATTAAAAAAAAATAAGAGATACAAAGAAAGAAAGAACGTCTGTTTCAGTGAAATGGCAAAAGTTGTCAATTTCAGACCTTTTCATTTGTACCCCCTTCTTAAAATAATGACCAGAATTCATATTTATGATTATTATTGAAATATTTGGGTAAGCTTGTAAAATTCAAGTTGTTAATGATGTGTTTGTACGGTTATTTTATTGTCATAGAACACGCCATAAGCTTATTCAATCATTAACTGAAGAATTAAGATTCATGAGAAAATTCAAATAGAAAAACCGTGAAATTATCACGGGTCTTTCTAGTTTTGTTAAGGTTGTTAAGCTCAAATATTTAACGATGCGATAGGGGAATTTCTACGGATATTTTATTGTCGTAGAACTCGCCATGAGCTTATTGAATCATTAACTGAAGAATTAAGATTCATGAGAAAATTCAAATAGGAAAAGCGTGAAATTATCACGGGTCTTTCTAGTTTTGTTAAGGTTGTTAAACTCAAATATTTAACGATGCGATGTGGGAATTTCTACGGATATTTTGTTGTCGTAGAACTCGTCATGAGCTTATTCAATCATTAACTGAAGAATTAAGATTTATGAGAAAATTCAAATAGGAAAAGCGTGAAATTATCACGGGTCTTTCTAGTTTTGTTAAGGTTGTTAAGCTCAAATATTTAACGATGCGATAGGGGAATTTCTACGGATATTTTATTGTCGTAGAACTCGCCATGAGCTTATTGAATCATTAACTGAAGAATTAAGATTTATGAGAAAATTCAAATAGGAAAAGCGTGAAATTATCACGGGTCTTTCTAGTTTTGTTAAGGTTGTTAAGCTCAAATATTTAACGATGCGATAGGGGAATTTCTACGGATATTTTGTTGTCGTAGAACTCGCCATGAGCTTATTCAATCATTAACTGAAGAATTAAGATTCTTCGGATTCTACTATATTAAAATTATCTTTATAAGTAATAATAGGAAATCATAAAGAAAATCGACACATGACAATGTAAGTTATATATTTGAAAAGTCTTAGATAGATAGATAGATAGATAGATAGATAGATTGATAGATAGATAGATAGATAGATAGATAGATAGATGTGAACAAAGTGAGATAGACAGATAGATAGATAGATAGATAGATGTGAACAAAGTGAGATAGATAGATAGATAGATAGATAGATAGATAGATGTGAACAAAGTGAGACAGACAGACAGATGAACAGATAGATAGATAGATAGATAGATAGATAGATAGATATGAACAGACAGCGACGAAAAGAAAGAAAGAAAGAAAGAAAGAAACAGATAGATAGATAGATAGATAGATAGATAGATAGATAGATAGATAGATAGATAGATAGATAGATATGAACAGACAGCGACAAAAAGAAAAAAAGAAAGAAAGAAAGAAAGAAACAGACAAACGAAGAAAGAAATAGCGAGACGGCGTTTGAGAGTGAGTGAGTGAGTGAGTGAGAGAGAGAGAAAGAAAGGTGAAAGGTGGGGAGTAACGTACTCTATAACAAGATCAAAAGCTAAGAGAATTCCAGACGAAATGAGAAAAGGTCATGTCGGGGTTGAGGGTTAAGAGAACGAAAGGCTACGAGACCCGGACACAGACAGAGAGAGGCGGGTGGGGGAGGAGGAGGAGGAGAGTGAGAAAGAGAGAGTGTGCAAGAGAGATAACAAGGAAGGTGAGAGTAAGGAATCATACGCTCAATTAACAAAAACACCCTGGATAGAAGGAAAATGGCCGACGTGTTGAAGTCAGGAATAGAGGAAAGAAAAGAGAAAGTTTCGTCTGGCGGTAACAATAACAAATCATGATGACTTTTGAGTGCGGTCCCCCTATCGTCATGGCCCAACCCCACAAGGCACTAAACACGCAAAAGAGACGGCGGAATTTGCCAGACTCCCAATGGACGTTTAGTACCCTTCCCTTGTGCACCACGTGTGTGCTTTTCCTGGTTGTTACTCGTTTCCCGCCGTCTCGTCCTGGCCCAGACGATATTTGCCTTCACTCTCGCATCTGTTCCTGCGGTCGATTGTCAGGGGGGTCCTTAAACACCATTGCTATAGTTGTCTGGTTTTATGACTGGTCGCCTTGATTATCCACTTTGACTATTCTTTCAGTATGTTATTTTCTTTCTTTCTTTTTTTTTAAAGTTTTTAATTCCTTCCTTCCTTTCTTCCGCTAATTTCTTTATTCTTCATTCTTTCTTTTCCTCCTGTGTACCTGACTACTTTTTTCTATATTCTCATTCCTTCCTTCCTTCTTTCCTTCCTTCCTTCCTTCCTTCCTTCCTTCATTCCTTCATTCCTTCATTCATTCATTCTGTTAATTTCTTCATCATCATTCTTGCCTTTTTTCATTCATTCTTTCTTTCTTTCATTCATTCTTTCCTATATACCAAACTCTTTCTTTATTTCTATATTCTTTTTTATATCTTCTTTCCGTTAATTTCTTCATTAGCATTCTTCATTCATTCATTC